ATTGAAATTTTTGATTTTGAAAATCATTAGTTTAAACTTTACTTAAATCTATATGAACATTAAATTTAATGAATTAAATTAGTTATTTGTTTTAACATGGTTACTCAATTATTAAAAAGGAGCTTTCCTTTTTCTATTCCTATCAATCAGCTTGTTGGTCTTGTACCAAAATTTTTTTTAGAAACCTTATTGAGTTTAACGAGTTCGTTTATTTTTCCAGTAGAGATAAAAGAGAATATCCTGCACTTTCCTGAATGTGCTTGTTAGAGAATTTCTTACTGGCAGATTACTTGAAACGTGAAAATGAAAACATTTGAAAAATGTTTTCTCGTTTAGCGAATTCATTTTTTCTGGAATTTATAATGTGCAGGTGAGAAAAAGTTGTTAGTCGTAGGTTTCAGAAAGTGTATAATTGCGACAAAAAACATTTCCAGACATTTTAATGGAAAAGTATATGGAGCAGAGTCAATTGAATAATTTAGCAACTCATTTCTGTTTTGGCCTTGAACAAACCTTCTAAAACTATACAGTCGAAAATTTTTGACGGTAACGGTTTAATTTCTGAATTTATTCTGTCCAGCATCTCAAACCTATACGCAAAAGAAGCAATAATTATGCATGCTGAAAAAACAAACATTTGCCAAATTTTCCAATTTTATCTGCTTTTTTACCTCAGTCATTTAGTGCATTTCAATTCTTACGAACTTTACAAGCTTTATAATAATGCGATTTCAAATCAGCAGAAAAATTTGCTGTTAATTTTTTGAGAACTTGATCGAGGGGGGGGGGGCAAAATTATACATACATCTTACATTTAGTTATTCAATTATTCTCAACATTTAAATGATGATTTCCGAGGTGATTATTTAGCTACTGGGCCCCCGTTAGAAATCAGGGCTGTGAATATTGCACTCCATGACGAAATCACTTGATTAATTACATACCTAGACGAAATGTGTTTTGGTATCTTAAAAATGTAATCAAACTATGTGTTGAAACGTGCTAGAGTTGTCTGATGAAGTTTTGAAAAATGAATGCCAAATTTCCTGTTTCACAAGGCTTCTATAACGATGAAGCGCTGTATTGTTTGATCCCTCCATCGCATGCGCAAGTTGAACATCTTGTATCGCTTTTTGTTTTGTCTAGATTGGAAATCTTGCATTTTGGGACCGCAAATCCAAATTTTTGCATCCCTTCTTATCAGAAATTTTTTTTACAAAGTTGACAAATAATAGCGTTTGGGGCGGTGTTTGCATTCCACTGGCCAAACGCTTTCACTAAATGTAATTACAAGTTTCAAAAAATGGATATGCACTTTTTTAAATGATTCTCCAATCTAGAGTCTGTTTGATTGATTTATTGCGGATTAATTCAATGGTAATAAGCTTGCCTTCATTCGCTTTAAGAATAGCTTTTACTCCAAAGCAAATATTTTTCACTGCTCAATTCACAATGTTTATTTATATCTCGCTCGAAATATATACTCTCATTCGCATCCAATTAGTAGTTCTACTCATTCGCTCTTAAAATCACGCACCAAGCTTTTCCTTTCACACATTCCTATTGATTTCGGTGATCTAAACAAATTGAATGCCCCTTCGGAAATTCCATTGATCACTCAGTACATTCGAAAAAAAAACCTTTAGTACATGTGCGTCAGCGAATTAATCACAATCATCGGAATGTTCTGCAAAAACCGGAACTCGTGCGCTAAGACACTTTTTCATTGTTTTATCTCTGAAAGACTCTTATCGCCGACTCAATGTACATTTAGTTATGAAAACTAACTGGTCATGAATGTGAACTAAGGACCGTTGAAAAAATTTTTTATTGAATTCGTCCTTTTAGGATTGTTAGTTGAACTGTCTTAATTATTTACTTTTGAGAATTCACTTTTTACCTAAAACTTTTGAAACATTAATTGTGACAGTTACCTGATGGGCTAAAAGCGACTGTTTTTTTAATTAGAATAATTTATTCCATCTTTCTATGGATACATTATCTGATCTGAACGCTAAAACCATGAAACTACTGGATTGGGAATGGTACACATTTTCAGATTGGTCCATAAGTAAAGAGCCTTATTGGTTAGGTTTGCGAGTAATTTTCTCGCGTTTTACTCTAATACAGAATAAATCAAATCTGATTTTTGTTTTGAAACTTTTGAAACTTGTGATTGTAAATTCTGAATTTTGATTATAAAATCTGGGCTATTTCTTCTGCTTAACAAGCGAATTACTCTTTCGAGTTTACACTTTCTTTTTCAAACAACATCGCAACGTTGCATTCCTTTTCTTCGTCAAATCCATTGATGCAAAATATAAGCTTGCGGACTTCTTTTGTTTATTAGAAGATTTTCTATAGATCACAGTGGTGAGTGAAGAAAAAGAAAACTATAAATGTTTTTTTTTTATTTTGACCACTTGTTCAGTAGGGATTTGTAACTGTCAACCTCATTGATTTTATCGTACGTTATATCTCAATGCACCTGTCCACCATGTTAAAATGAGTAAGATATTGCTTAAAATACTCTGCTAACTTCGGATGCTCCTGAAATAAGTGTTCATTGTTTGTAGCATAAAAATTAAATTTTTCTCTGTATAAATCTTGTCGTTATGTTTAGCAGCATGTGATTAATTTCTCAAAGCTTTACGAGAATTTGTGTATGTGAGTAAACTTTAAGCCATTTTCAGAACTGAGAGTCCATAAAAATAAATAATTTACTAGTATAATTATGACTTAGAGTAAAATTTCCACCAATCTCAGTCCTAATAGCTATTTTTTCTTCGCTACAGGTCCAACAATTCGAATTCTTGTAAATCTCTCAGTAGCGGTTCTTCTTGCATAATATCTTCACCTTTTTTCTCGCGCTGATGAAGCTAACGCCCCCCCCCCCCCATCACAAGAGCAGTATTCATACAGCATTAAATATGGATCTCTTAAAGGCATTCATTCATCAATATCTTTATGGGCGTGACTTGCAGCTGTACAATTTTTCTGTAACGACGTTTGACCACTAATTTTTTAAATTTTTCGAAAAATTCTTTTATTTTTCTTCTCATTATCATTTATTTACGGATTTCTTATGAAGTCTAGGGATCTCAGTTTTAATTCGGAAGTAGTTAAGAAGTTCAAGCTTTCCAAATGCAATTGAAAATTCTTCAAAGTGAATCAAAAAATCCATAAAATTACAGAAATTGAAATTTTCATGTGTAACATGTACATATCAAAAGATTACAATAGCCCTCCATCATTTGAGAATGAGGAAAAAAATTTCAATGAATTTTTAGGGTTTAGCGAGTCAAATGTCCCCCCCCCCTCCCCCCCTACTTTTCGCAGTGATGAGCTGACCTTCAATAAGCACTTGCGGCTCCTTATCTTGCTTCAATTGGCCACCGTGTGCAGGCAATAGAATGTGGAACAGTAGGGAGGGGGGGGGGGGGATAAACCACCTGCATTGCTTGTTATATGGTCAAACAACTATGTTGATAAGGTCAGGTCACCTGTTTGTTGCTTTGCGATTCCTCGAACGAACATTCTAGATCCGGGTGTATTCTTAACAAAACTCCTCTTGACTCATGCTATTATGATCGTTGATTCATTGAGATGAATTGCAGAGGCGTCAGTCAGCTTGTGTAAACCGATTAGCTGTTTCGGAGGGACTTTCTTAACTCTTTTCTAGGCTCCCTCATCACTTTCAATTAACTTAGGTTCATGACGCAAAAGCTAAAAATTTTTAAATTTTGTAATTAGCAAAACTTTCATCTTTCTCCACCACCAAACCACTGTCAAACAAAAAAAAATCCGCTGTAAAACGCATTTTTCACTCATCATTACAGCATCAGACAACTAACGAGGACACATGATTGAGAATTTGACCACATCATTCTGTGAGCTTTTTTCGAGTTCACTGGATTAAACAACAAATTCTTGACTTAATCTCCAAATATCTCTCATCTATTTATTTTTCGCGGAGTTCGGGAGTTGCGTAACAGCAAAGAAACATGTATCTCTTCGACAAATTGTCAAGAAATCCTTGGTGGAATTGGGCTGTCTGTTTCTAGACAAGTTTTCTAATTCTTTTTTGGTAAAATATTACTTAAATTTGGCGCTAGGCATTAGTTGAACTTCAACCTCACCTAAGAATACTCAGAAAATAAATCTGAATGCTTGTTATGGTTTTTGTTATTATTTCTCGTGTTCTAGCAGATCCTGATTGAAGCTTTCCGTCTCAAAAGTGGTTTTTTGGTCCTAATTCTAGTGAATTCCAATATTTTTTGTCGTTGCTAATGAATTATAGAATCTGTGATTTTTCCAGCAGTACTCCTCAAGAAATTGAATCAAAAAATGTAATTGTCGTAAAAATGTACTCCGAACGTAAAATAGTAGCATCATTTTTGCAGCTACCACTTTGCCTATCTCTATTACATCTCGTTTTTCCTTTTCGTGTCAAAGGAACAGAAGCAAACACGCTATTATATGATGGGGTCGTAAAAATCTCTTTGATGATACCTTCTCCTCTATATTTGAATCTCCATCTTTCTGCTCTTTTCTTTCTGCTATACGGTCCTGAAGAAGCGGACCTTTTTGTCTCGCTTATTCAGCTCCTTCGTCTGTCCGGCTCCTCCACAATGAAGTTGTTCAAAGAAATGAAGATTCTGTGACAGTTTAAATGTTTATCATAAGTCATAGTCATATGCTTCGTTCGTCATTTTCCAAGCATATGTTATAAGTGATGTTTTAGCAAGCGTTCTATTGCATTTTTCCGCTAACAATAAAAAATTGTTTGTCCCTTTGGCAGTATTCACAGAATTTCTGAAAATTCTATCATTATTTTGCTCCATTGTATTTTCTTATATATTGCGATATATCTGACCTATGGAATTTTCTCATTCTTATTTTCTTGATCATGTAAAAATTATTTTTCCAACGATTACTCTTCTTTCAGTGAAATTTCCGTCACAAGCAGTGGATCATCGTCCCCAAATTCATCATTGCAGTATGGCGTGGTGAGAATATAAATGCTTATTGTTTTTTCTTTGTTCATTTGGTGCGATGAAATCCTGACCGTAAAAAATAGTAAAAAAAAATTGTGAGCGGTTTGTTTGTAGGATAATAACGTAGCTTTTTCTCAATCGTTGCAAACAAACGTGGAATCCAAAAAACTAATTTTTTCAAATTGTAATTCAGCTCCAAATCTGCCAAAACTGGGTTTAGGAATAGGGGAATATTTTTTGATATAAACGAGTGAAATGCAAATCTTGTTGGATAAGAGTAGCTATTGTATATCATAAGGTTAGAACATAAGTAACAAAAAAAAACTGTGAAAAAACGTCAAAAAGTTACCTTTAACTATCTAATCATTTTTTTTAACAAAACAAAATCAGTTTATTGGACATTTCCAGTCTTGTAATCGTTGAGAATTTGTATAAATTCCGTAATTTAAGTTTTTCAGCTTGTATCGCCGCTATATGCCAACAATAATCTGCACCTCTAAAAAAATTCGTGAATTTCATATTCGAAAAAAAATTTAAAATTTATATAAACATTATGGCAATTTTAGACTTCATATTTCAACATAAAAGATTATATCGTTTGCTATATAGTGAAGTAAGCATCACTACTACTTGATCGTTTGTATCAACGTCTCTCACGGCATAAGATCGGGTTCATATTTGCATATCGGCTTCGAACGTTCGGCGTAGGCACCTTCGAACGGAAATGTGTATGTACACCAAGCATGACATTCTTCTATACATTCTTTCATACTGAGAGTGGACATCACCATTAAAAACTCGAAATACAATTTATTGTTTTAGATCTGTTCGGAAAAGCCGATGAGAACAGCTACACCCGTCTGCAATACTCATATTTCAGCACTTTCTGGATAGTAAGTTCGGGTAAGTCCTGCTTTCTGCTTTCTCTTTATTATTTCATTTAATCGCTTCCATGAATATTTTTTTTATTCAACTTCATACGATCTTTCACATTCAAAAGGAAAAACAGCCATATTCAAAATGAGTTGGTCTAAATTGCACTACGTCAGTGAGCGAAGAGATGAGTAAGCGATGAAAACGTGCTTTCGAAATTGTAAATTCATATGACAATTGGAAGAACAACTCTTGACCTCATTGCTACCTCAAGAAAATTTTCATTTCATTTTGAATGCCAGATTTTGTACCATCTAGGTGATTATTTTGTATATCAAGTTACCATGTGTCCCAAAATACGTTGACATACTTTGGCTCGTAATTTTGTTGTCAGATCAAAACGTTTACCGAGAAATGTTGGTATCTTTAGAGGTTTTTTTCTTCCTTTTCAATCGACATATTACTCCCTGCTCACTTGAAAAAATTCATTGATTGGGCCATTTGAGAGGAGGTTTTTTTCGACTATGGCAACAATGGTAGAGACAATGTGCCTTTTCTCAAGGAAAAGTGCTGGGTCATTTTTGGCCACCTACCTCAAATTGGGAACATGCTCTGAGCCTCTTAAAACAACTGCTGAGTTGCAGCCAATTTTTGATAAAAGCTTGGAACAAAATTTCGCAAAAAATGTTCCAGAAAACAATTGACAAGTTTTCGAGGCTAAGTAAATGTAGTGTGGAAAAAGCAAATTATATCGAAAGTTAATATCAAAATTAGTGTGTCTTTTGTAAGAATAAGAGGAGATCTCAAGCTACTCAATGCTATATGATCAATTCATGCCTCTATATCTTACTTTATTAGATTCGTATCAAAATTTGTCAACATAGTTTGGGGACACATGTTATTTTTGCTTTACTCACTTCATCGTAACTGTAAGCAGGCAAAACTGGTACGCGATAAATCTTTATATACTTATACTCAAGTATATAAATACTAGTAAATAAAAAATGTATATCTTACTTTTCAGGCTTCGAAATGAAGTCTACATACGTTTACGCTGCCCTGATCATATCATTTGCGTCCTGTATTTCTGCACAATCAGTAGACGAAGAAGGATATGAAAATCTGGGCGAAGGTAGCGGAAAATATTCTAGCGATGATGAGGACATCGAGGTGAGTCATATCTTCACCGCAGTTTCGGTTATTTCGAAGTTGTGTAAACTAGTAAATTGACATGCAATAGTGTCTATGCGGTGCAGATGACAAATGAGTGGAGTATGTCCATGCTTGTGATGCCAACAACATTTGCGCGTAAAAGTGGCCACTCAGGCGCATTTTCGGGTTTTGCGGCCCTTGCTTTCTGATGCGCAAATGCTGTCGGCACCGTGGGGATTGAATCAAAAGTCAAATCTACTAAGCGTCCATTTATTTATCTAGGGCTCGGCACTACCACGAGACTCGAATTACGCAACAACCCCCGTTGTTCATCCTCGATTCACTCAACCACCAGTGACAAGGCTGAGAACAAACACAGTGAAATACTCGACGATTATGCAAACGCAGAGAGTAAGTTCTTTGTTTATTCGCTGATTAGTACGCGGACAGATCTTCGATACAATCAACCTTTTGTTAACAATTTTTACCAAAGATCAATCATGTTTGCAAAAATTTTTGAAATGAAGATTTACGAAATTAACAAGGGATCCTGTGAAATTGAATAAATTGTAAGTAAAGCCTACTTGGTAAAGCTAAGTAATCACTAATCACTCCTCGAACTTTGAACTACTCAAAGAATGAGATGTGGAATTATAAGATTAATGTATTTTTCCTTTGACTCAAGAAAGTGAAAAGAAGTAAGATTCAAATTTTTCGTAGAAAAGTATATATTAGGTGGGTGCAAAAGTTCTGTCGTTTCATTTTCAAAAATTTGTAATTTCGCCAGATTTCAACGGATTTGACTGCCTGTAATTTTATTAGAAAGAATAGGTCTTCCGCTTTCAAGCGCTTTTTTGTGGAGCTTCTGTTTCACACTGAGTGCCGAGATAAAAATAAAAAACTAAGACCATGTAAACTTTGACCATTTTAAGTTAGGTCACTAAAAATCTGGAATGCTGCAGAAAAATCTAAAATTGTCAGTACATATGTTTTTTGGCCTACTCTTTACAACTGTGAAGAGTTTGTGCTGTTTGGACGTCTCTTTGAGAAGTTATGATTTTCGCGAAAATTCACAAATTAATTGATTTTGGCGTTTTCCATGGTAAACTCGATATTCATAACATCTCACGGAGACTTTCAAACAGCACAAATTTTTCACAGATGCAAAGTGTGGGCCAAAAAACATATGTACGGAAGATTTCAGATTTTTCTGCAGCGTTCCCGATTTTTGATGACCTAACTTAAAATGGTCAAAGTTTGCATGGCCTCAGTTTTTCATTTTTATCTCTGCACTCAGTGTGAAACAGAAGCTCTACAAAAAAGCGCTTGAAAGCGGAAGGCCTATTCTTTCTAATAAAATTACAGGCAAGCAAATCCGTTGAAATCTGGCGAAGTTACAAATTTTTGAAAATGAAACGACAGAACTTTTGCACCCACCTAATAGAAATGAAGTTTGTTGACAAAAAATCCAGCTATCAAAATCATTCTCTCACATTCGCAAAGTAGTTGAGTCGTCTTTACTTTCACTATGTCAATTCTGACTTCAATAAAGTTCACCTAAGTAGATTCGAACCGTAAATGTGCGATTGCACAGCAACACTAATTTTCGCGCAAACCCAAACATTTGGCTACTTTGCACACATTTATACTTGCTGTCTAAAAATTACGGACAGGAAAACTTTATGGATAAAAAAATACTTACTATACTTGAGTCCGTAATTTAGAGACGGAAAAGTTTATTAAAAGCTTATACCCAAGAAAGGCACACCCGATGGCTAATCATGGATTTTACGCGCAAGTGTGCGTTGCTGTGCAATCACACATAGCACTACGCTTGATTTAACCCAAAGTTTTTTTTTCCAGATCATGCAAAAACAGCGATTTTTATAAAATTATATTGTATTCCAATCCAGTTTTTTCAGGTCACAACATTTGCGACATCAACTCCACATTCAAATATTGAAATACACAACGAGGATGATAGAGTTTCGACACAAATGTTATCTACGAATGCTACGATAGTGATCATAGGACTGATAGTGCTCATTGTTATTGCTGCAATTTTGGTTGTCTGCGTCTACAAGTGTCGTACAGGTAAATTCGCATTTGAAGGTTTGCCTCAACATTTTTTTTGGGGGGGGGGGGGGGGGAGGCGGTCTCGGTTGACGCGCTTGCTCTCGATGATTGGCTATTGGCAGAGTGTCTCCGCCCATCTGTGAGGCGATTGGCCAGACGGCGGGGCAAGGTCGCCCATTCAGTATTTTTGCGTATTAAAAAACCAGAATTTGACACTTTTTGCATGTTCGAATATCCAGTTGGTCCAGATGTGTTGACAAACACAAAGTCGGACTGCCGATTTGCTGTCCTCAAATTAAATCGGTATTTTTTCCTGAAATCCAAAAAAAACGTATGAACCATCCGAAAAGGACTAAAGGCATCATACAGCAGAGAAAGAAAAAATTTAAACCATATCTAATTCAACTGATTTGTTCAATTCGTCGTTTTTTTTTTCTAGATTTCTCATGTTTCAGGCCGAACAAATGCATACACGCCGGGTCAACACCGGAGTTCAGCGGCACTCTTGAACACTCAGCAACCCAACTAATCATTTTTTGGAGCTCAATACTTGTAAAAAATAAGATAACCATCTGCGCCGCTTTACGTTTGAAAATTTAATTTAGATATGCTTCCGTACCGATAAGATTTGTGCCGATTTGTCTACTACTCTCATGCTCTCATGCCCGTCTCAATTTCACTTATTTCTTTCTTCTCCTTCTGCTCAGTTCTTATTGCTCAATATCTTATTAAACATCATTCACTGCATGCAGAAGTGTATGAATGTTCTTATCATGACATAGGTAATTCTCTCTGATGAATTTCATGAATGATTATTGTATTCTATTGGAATGACTTTCTATTTTTCGTTTGCTATTATTTCAAGCATTTTTTGTCCAGGAAAACGTATCCATTTGATGTTTTTCTTTTTCGATTTTAGGAAGTTTGATTCCTACTTGAATGAATTTTCTCAAGCACGGATTGTTGTTTCGTGGTGGTCATATGTCACGGTCACGGTAGCCCACAATCCACCTTCAAAGTCACTCAACATTCTGGTTTTCTAAAATGATTTTGTAAAACTACGAACAGTGTTTAAGACAAATTAAAGCGTAGTATACTCAAGATTTGCTTTACTTGTGTAAGATCGAATTCTTGAGCAGTTAGAAATGATGTGTGGAGAGGCTCGGCTGTAGTACTAAAGCATTAGAAACTTTCGTTTCGAGAGTAGAAACTTCAAATTACGAGATTATCATTCAGAAGCGGACAAGACTATTATAAAGTGCGGTTCATAATTATACGAACACCCAAGATTTTGTAAGTTTTTGGACTTTTTGAGAAAAACTCAAAAAGAAGTTGGTACCACGCGAAAGAGCACAGCCGAAAACGGTATATGATCTAAAAGAATGGAAATTGATGTCAACTGTAGGAGTGTTTTTGCGCCTAATGCGAATTTTTAGCGGTTCATAATTATACGAACACCTCAAACAAAGGTCCATTTTTCATTCAAGATTGCAATCATTTGAATCCAAATTTTTTGTAGAGTTACAGTAACAAAGTCTGACATATCTGCTACACACTGAACCCAGTGCAGTTCAAAAAGAGGACCGTTACTTTTTTCAGAGGGCTCTAAATGCTTTTGGAGTGATTGCGCTTCAAAAACACCCGTTCTTCTGTGGTTTACGCGCTCTGATTAGCTTCTACCAAAGCTATGAGATAAAACAAGCTCTTTTGATAGGTATTTTGTTTGACGCTTGGAAAATCTTTGCGTTTTCGTGCCGTTTTTCAACCAAGTTCCAACCTTACCACAGAGTTAGCACGATTTTGAGCCTCAAAACTCAGCTTCTCTCTTGCGCAAACATTTGATATGAAGCCGCTGCATTGTTTGCGTGATGATGTTTCTGTGCCAAAGTTTTTGGGTTTTTTGTAGAACTGATCTTGAGGCTATGGAGCTAAAAACCAAATAAAGGTGTGATTGCAATAGTAAAAACAGTGTTTTTGGTGAAATGACGTCTGCGTTGCCAAAACAAACGCTCAGCGCTGCTGATTTTTTCTAACCAAATATACAGTCTTGTGAACTTTTACATACTATGTGCTTACTTCATTGTACGGCTTCAGAAGCTGAGTTTTGAGGCTTAAAATCGTGCTAACTCTGTGGTAAGGTTGGAACTTGGTTGAAAAACGGCACGAAAACGCAAAGATTTTCCAAGCGTTAAACAAAATACCTATCAAATGAGCTTGTTTTATCTCATAGCTTTGGTAGAAGCTAATTAGAGCGCTTGAACCACAGAAGAACGGATGTTTTTGGAGCGCAATCATTCCAAAAGCATTTAGAGCCTTCTGAAAAAAGTAACGGTCCTCTTTTTGAACTGCACTGGGTTCAGTGTGTAGCAGATATGTAAGACTTTGTTACCGTAACTCTACAAAAAATTTGGACTCAAATAATTGCAATCTTGAATGAAAAATGGACCTTTGTTTGAGGTGTTCGTATAATTATGAACCGCTAAAAATTTGCATCAAGCGCAAAAACACTTTTAAGATTGACATCCATTTCCATTCTTACGGATCATATACCGTTTTCGGCTCTGCTCATTCGCGTGGTACCAATGGCTTTTTGAGTTTCTGTCAAAAAGTCCAAAAACTTTTAAATTTTGAGGTGTTCGTATAATTATGAACCGCACTTTATACCCAAAATTGGAGGGCTCAGAGGCTAGCTTTAAGGAAAGCACAAGCCATTTATATTGCGTAGCCATACCGGATTTAGTTGGATAAGGACGAGTTTCTCCCGCATAAATGCTTTCCACCTTTGTTTTTGGTTCGATCCATTTCGCGTACCATAGGAGCATTTAGTGAGGATATTATATTTACGGAAATATCAGGGTGTTTCATAATTTCTATCGTTTTTACCACAACATTCGTTGTTGTATCTTTCCTTCGACTGATTTGGGTTGGATAAACATGCGATAGGGAAAACAAGCTCTACAAGATAGCTCTGCCCAAATCATATTCACGTGAAGTTTTGAGCTGAAATCTGATAACAGTCAAAAACGAACTTCACTTTTAAAGATCTATCTTCACCCCAAAAAGTCTTAAAAATTCTCCGTTTATTCTAGCATATGACGACGCATCGCACATCCAAATGTACAATTTCCAAATTTTTTCTTTGCTTAGAAATAAAGAAAAAGACGAATGAAGTTAAATGGCAAACTCTTCCACTGAACGTCGTGAGCTCTTTCCACGCATATGGTCATGTAGCCCATTCATACAGAAGCACAATCGTGTATTTGTACCCCTCGTAGGTGCCTCAGTTTTCGAGAAATGCTGATGTTTAGGATAAAACGGCAAAAATATAAGACACCCTAATATATGCGAAACAGTCAAGAATCTACCATAATATTACGAGTACAAGACGCACCTTTTTCACTTTCTCAAGCACGACACTCAGCCGCCTCGCTGTGTTTCGGAACACGAATCTTATGCCGCACGATACCCTTAGGCAATAAGCAGCACAGTATAAAGTCCTTTTCTGGCGAAATTCTTTGGTATGTTTAGGCTGTTCAAGTTAAAAAAAACAGGTGCGTCACTCTTGAAATTTGGGTAGTTTACGCAGTGCTTTAACAATTCAAAGAAATGAGTCTCAGAAAGGGGAAGAAAAACGAAAAACATTTACGATGAGCTATCAATTCCGCTGACTCTGAAATGAAACTTATATCTTATTGTAAAAGTTCGTAAGTTAGCCCAAGCATAACGTGACAACTGTTTTCTTACTGTTTCGTGAAAATGCAGTTACACCGTTTAAAAAAGCTTTATAGTCTTTTAGGCTCCCGCCAGAGTGCCGAAGTTATGCAAGCGCTACGCCAGCATTTCGATCGATACACGTGTATTTCGTTGGGGCGTCAGCTAGCCCCGCCCCAACGAAATACACGTGTATCGATCGAAATGCTGGCGTAGCGCTGGCATAACTTCGGCACTCTGGCGGGAGCCTTACAATCATGTAGTGAAGTTAATGTAAGAGAAACTTCAGGATCAATTTCTTCTCATGAACAACGATCATATTTGGGCTATAATGGAGGAAAAAGTCGATTAGAGACTCCAGCAGGACAATTAGGTCAAACGCAGATTCATTAGCGAGTAGTGACCAGCGACACTGTGGAAGAGGAACCGAAAAAAGTAACAGAACCTGTTTGGAGGACGCTGTTTGAGAAGCACTCTAGATGAATCAGCAGCCACACCATACACTCGACCTTTCGTTGTCAATGTCAGGTTGTCCTTTCCTGCTGCCCATCCTCCTTTTTCATCTCTGAGAATGGACATCCGACTATTTTATTTCTGCCATTTCCCTATTTGCTGTGATGTTGGAACATCCGACTATTCTTTATTTCTGCCATTTTCCTATTTGTTGTGTTGTTGTAGCAACCGACTATTCTTTATTTCTGTCAGTTCCCTATTTGAAGTGCTTTTCTCTGATCATAGTGATAAAAGGTTGTTGAGAGATGGTGAACGAACAGCTTTGATGTGAGAGGCTCGTACATCACTCAGTAGAATAGTAAGAAGAAGCAGAGTTACCTCGCTTTATGCAACAATCGTTTCGAGCACTGCAAATTCAATCATTTTTTACTACAGTTGTCGTGCATGGCGGAGACTTTTGATAACTACAAACATTAAATAAGCGTGATAAGATCCCACAGTGTCAACAATGAACCCCACCCAACTTATTTTTTTATCATTCTATCTACATTCGCAACGAGACTTCCGACGAGCCGACGGACGAGGCGAACGGGGCGCGCCTCGCCGTCATGCCAGAAGACTATTCCCGTATTCCAAACGTCATATTATACCGACTGACTACTGCCTTGAAACTTCTAACGCGCGCAGCCCTCAATGAAGTATAAATTGGCTCCATTGCTAGTTGGTGCGATCTACTTTTCGCAATAGCCCCTCCGTCTTTAATGACAGTTGTAAGGGAAACTTTAAGTGTGCACGAAACGATTTTGATCGCACTCAAAAGCTGTGATTCATGTGCGCTAGTGGAACGGAAAACCAATTGCATCTTTTGAACAATGATCATACCTGTGTGTAGAGAACCTGCAGAACGAGTTGCAAATTGCACGAAGCGCACCAAGAACGGAAGGGTCACGGTTGAGCCCGAAGATGAGTGAAGGTCGCGGATAATAATCAAGGCGGAGGAAAAAGTGACCTAAGATGTAAAGTAATATACTGTAATCTCCTCATGAAAACATAAACTTCGCCGAACGACAAAGTTGAAGAACTGAGGTTCCGGAGAGCTGCACCATAGATAAATATCGTTGGGAATCAGTGATATTCAGATGGACATGCAAAATTTATGATCTTAGATTAGACGAGTTCTTCCAACCAGTCAATAATTGTTGGGGCTCACAAGGTGATAAAAGATAACACATGATGGGAGGATCTAGAGTAATTCGCGCACTTGAGGGATATGCGAATCTTATATGGAGGTTTCGGTTCCGGACCGTGACGCGATCCGTGAGTAGAATCTAAGGAGTGCGCAAAACTTTGAGCCATCTCGAGAAGCAGATCTGTTGGTCTTTATTCTGCGTAACTATCCATCGGAGCGCCCAACATCGCGGATGGAGATGAGGACGGCGATAGCTGGCTCAAAAGTATGAGGGAGAATCTCTTGGTTTTTCCGA